GGTTATTAAGACAGTTTCCAAATTGGGTTGAAGGTCGTACAGGTGTAGAAGAATGGCCTCAGAGGGTCTGGCTTTATTGAGTATTTTCACATCTAGAGATCCGTCCATTCCTCTAGGCAAAAAAGCTGAAGCTCAGTAAAATTGGATGGAGACCGTCAGTGAACAACAATTTTCAAATGTTGCCATATATTCTCAATTGCGTTGATGTCTGGGCTTTGACTGGGTCATCATAAAACATTAACATGCTTTGATGGAAACATGATTCATGATGTTTAGGGTCAGTGCGCTGCTGGAAGATGAACCTCCGCCACAGTCTCAAGCATTTCTCTGTATTTGGCTCCATCCTTCCCTCATTCTGACTGGACTCTCTGTACCTGCTGAAGAGAAGCATCCCCACAGCATGACGCTGCCACCACCATGTTTCCCTGTTGGGCTGGTGTGCTAACGGCCGTGTTGGGTTTCCACCAACCACAGCGTTTTGCATTGAGACCCAAAAGTCCAGCTTTGGTCTCATCTGACCGGAGCACCTTCTCCCAATGTGACGTGTGAGAAGTGAGTGGTTGCACCAGATCTTTGTTAGTTTCTAGTTAGGGGTTCCACAGTAAAGCGGCTGAAAACATTTTCATTGAATCATTTTAAAATTCATGTTAATTCCTGCAACTTCCAGATGATGGACTATATGGTGTTGGTCTGTTACAGGAAATAAATGCAATACAATACATTAGTAAAATATACCCTCAAGACACTGTGTTTGTTCCTCTGCCCCCCCCCCTTCCTGGACCACTGAAACAAGCTACTGAGCCTCCTTCCTGTTGCCTTTACTGACTACTGCACACACACACACACACACACACACACACAGACACACACATGCTGCTGTAATTATCAGTCAGCGAGACAGTGTAACGGCTCCACCTTGCAGAAATGCGACTTTCAGGAGAGGACGCTCTCCAGCGTTATCGCTGAACGCCTCTGCCGGAGGACGGCTGGCAGGGCGCTCACGATGGCTAAATCCAAAGCCAAATATTTAAGCATCAAACAGGTAAACAGACTGGCGAGGCCGCTTCGTCCGACCTGCGACTAATAGAGCGCCGGGCGGGTAAGTTCAGTGCATTAGCCGGGTTGACGGAGGCCCTGATAAAGATGTATAAACAGCTCCACCTTGCACTGGCTGCAGAGAGAACTTGCCAGTCGGGAAAAACGGCTTTCCACGAGGGCCGGGGTGCATGAATATTTCAGATGGGTAAATAATTAATAATTAATAGCAAACAGGCCAGTGATCAAATGGAGCAGCGTGACAACAGACATGAAAAATCAGACTCATGTAAACAAAGACGAGAGGACCCAGATTTCCTCCCCTCTTGCCACCTTCTTTTTTTACCCTTTAAATATGCGCATCTTCAATCGCCCCCCCGCATCGCCGCAAAACCACACACAAGCCAAAAAGGCACACATCAGAACACACCAGCTCCACATCAGCGACTGTCAAACACACATAAAGTGCTGCCATAACCCCTCCATCACTCACTCACATTCATACCCACACTTATTTTCCTTCAGATGGATGAAATTTTCACGTATTCCTTGGCGACCCGGGGAATGTGACTGAGCGAGAACACTTGATCTGGCCACCCGCTGCTTTCTGATGGAAAGATTTGCTTTTTAATACAATCGTCACTCCTCCCACCTGGATGTGCCACGCCAAGACAAATCCCAGCTGTGTGACTCCAAAACCTGACAGAGCTTAAAAATTCCCTTATTACCGCTCCCTTAAAATACCCAGCCACACTAACTCCCGACAATGGTTGAAATGCTAATCACGTCTCTCGGCGGCTTAGAGGAGCGCGGAAACAGAGCCGCCAATATGGAGGCTTTGGTGCGTGCGTAAAAGAGAGGAAGGAGAAGGAGCAAAAGACAAAGACGACGGCCACAAAGTCCCAGTTTTAATGACACACATTCACATGTGCGTCATGGCTCTTAAAAGCTGCTTCTCCACAATCCGTCGCGTCTTGCCACTTTACTTTCGCCAGAAGAGACATTTCATAAAATCTGACTCAATGGTGTAAACAACCCCAGACAAACACAAAACCACTGCAAATAAAAATAAAACAACTTTAGAAGCTGTGCACGGATCGCCTTCAGAGTTAATTTTAAAGTAAGCATTCAGTTCCATGGAGATTTTAATTAATGCTTTAATATGCAAATAAGTTAGCAGAGATAAAATGATGACAAACAGATGGCAAGTGTGGGTAATTATTTTGTGAATCCAGCAGGGGTATGTATTAAAGTTATGGCATCGTTTTCCTCAGGCCTCCACAGCCATGGATCATGGAGAGGAAAAAAAAGACACACGTATCACCGATGAACTGAGGCACAAATGACTTACTCGTCTCTTCGCATGACAAATGAGACCACAGTGAGTCTGAAAACATCACAAAAGACTAGACGTTGAGGATAAGGAATCCTCAGTCAACAGACCCCCTTTATTCTAAATTAGGAGGGGACATTTAAATGAAAGCAGAGCTGAAAAGGATTGTGTGTTTGTTTTGTCCATGAGAGCATCCGTAGTGTCACACTTGTATTGTGGTTCTACGTGTTAATGTGGGTGTCTGGCATCGTCTTTTGTGATTCCTGTGATGAAATAATAATAATTAAAACAACTTTGGGTGTTCTGGGGTTTGCCCCAGCGAGCGACCATGAGTCCCTCGCATGGCGTTGGTCCTCCCCCAATCACCCCCCGCCCCCCCCACCAAAGCACTAAACCCTCAAAATGCGCTGTAGTCGGCTGCACGGTTCCGCACCATCCTCCACATGGCGTCCCAGACTTAGAAGGCACGAGGAACAAATGGACTCATTTCATAGATGAAGACCATGTCCCGGCAAGAATTGGGGAAAGACTGTAGGTTTGAGCAAATCATTTTGAAACGGACTGTTTTCTCAACCTGGGCCAATATTGCGTTGGACTCGTGCTGGGATTGGTCTGATTTGGAGGGGGGGGGGGGGCTTAAAGAGACAGGCGCTGAAATGATTTCAGACAGAAGGTGATACAGGGATATTCCCACAGACAATAGGAGGAAAAATATATGCTTTTTTTACATCAAGACATGCAAACTGTTTAAGGTGGAAGGTACGAGTCTTAAAATGAGTATGATACGTCTCCTTTATAGCAGACTGGCTGGAGGTCCGTTCGCATGAGGCAAATCACTGCTCATAACACCAGGTCATGTTTTTCATGCCTTTAATAATCTTGTTGACTAAACAACTTCCCCAAAAGGTCTAATTAGTAGACACTCTCTAGTTATATCACATGCAGCAGATGGCCTTGTTATGGATATCATAGATGGTAAAATATTTTATTTTCCTGAGCATTTGAGGGACTTCACCTCCATGCTGGTTCAAAAGTTGATGTTCATTACTTGTCATGGCAGCTGCATTCTTGTAATACAACATGATATTATGTTATTAAGCATCAAGTTAAGGCCTTTGTATTCCGGGGAAGTGACGAATGAATAACTCCTGAACTAAGTGTCCTTTTAGAGAAATGCTCTTAATGCACAGTTGTGCAGTTCATTTGTCACAGGCTTTTATTGTGAAAGGGAAAAAGGTAGACCTATTCTTAGCTTCCCTTGTCAGAGTTGAAAGGAATAATACAGTTTACTCTTGGCTCAGACTACAACACTGTAACAAATTGCTGTAAATTTACGGTGCATTTCTAACGGTATCTTACAGTATGTCATAATAACTGTAACATAGAGTTAAATATCCATCCCTTGCTTGTAAATTAACGGCCAATGTCATGAATAAACAGTTAAAGCTGTCAATTTACAATAATAGCAGACTACCGTAATTCAACTGCATGTTACATATATTTAATGAAGTGGTGGAAATACACATACAAGTGCAGTGAATCACAATCCATCTACATCTGTCTGTAGGTTAATGTATGGAAGCCCATGTCAGCCACTGAAAAACAGCTCCTGTAAGTAACCTTGTGCTGCACAGCACACCCTCCCTATCCCATGCGCCGCCATCGCTGTCGTTTCAGTGGCTGGAATGTAAAGATTATAAATATTTGTATTATTCAAAGTGTTCATTGCCTAAAAGTCATTTGAGTGTTAATCGTGACCGACTGCTCCTGAACGTGACGTCAGACGCGTAATCTCAGTTCATCCAGAACACCTGTGCAGTTCAACATGGGAGGAGTTTCTCATTGCCTCGTCTCTCCAAGTAACGTTGGTAAGTGTTATTTGCCTTCATGATTAACATTCTCCTTCCTTACATCTTGTTGTCTTCCTCATCTTTGTAATTTTAATATTTTACCAATGACAGTCTTTCTAAATATTTTATTTTGGTTTGTTTTACAGAGGCACTGGATTAAGGACGCCAGCCGTTTGCTGCGGTCAATTGAAAGTGTTCCATAGCGTATTGTTGCAGTTAGTTTACATTGTTCCTAATGATTTTATGATTCATTTTTTTTACGGTAACATACAGTAATCCATTTTACAGTAGCATAGTGTAAAAACCATTTATGGTATTATACCGTAAAATAACGGTAAAATTCTGGCGTCCTTGCTGCCAGTAAGATACCGTTAATTTACGGTGACATTTTTTAGAGTGAACCTCAAAATACTAGGAAAAAAACAACAAACAACATAGCTTTTTGACTGTGTACTATTTGCATCCACTGCACCGAGCGTATTTAGATGTGTGAGACGCAATGACACAAGAAGTGAGCGCACAACAATGGTGTAAATGCTGCAATGGCATCAGGTAGAGATGTTTATGCTCTTATTCCAAAGGGCTTCGGCAAGTGTTAGATGGACAGGTCACTTACTACAAACAGACCCAGAACAGCAGTGGCCCATAGGTCATTTTTCTCATGAGTAGTTGTCATATTTTTCACTGCCGTAGCAAAACGCTACCCAGGGCATTACCGAGCTCTATCGGCACCGTTGCAACCTGCGCTTCAGATGTGTACCTACAATGATATCTGCACCTACCTGCTCCTGCGGGGGTATGTGGTCCACATCCAGGCAAGCAAGAGACCGGTTGATCCTCAAGGCTAGGCACAAAGCCATCAGGCCGCCAAGCTTTACTTCATTCTGACGGAGGTCCAGCCGCAGAATCTGACGACTCTCTGCAAGGAACTCTGCCAATGCCACAGCACCTTCACCAGAGGGAACACAGGTTTTGTCAGAAGGGCTGGCTTGGCTTGCCAACTTTAATTTATCTGGTCTAGTCTTGCACAGATACAAGTCTGTAGGTTAGATAGGACCCTAACCCAACAACGTCTTCACTGTGCTCGCTTTGGTAGAAATGTTATGGCTTGTCTTCAGGCATAAGTTTTGATTCTGTACCATTGGCCGCACTGCCTCTAGACACCTTTTAGTAGTTGTTGGAAAATGATTAGCAGATCTCAAATTTGCCGACTCTTCTACAACACTCAATATGAGTTGTGTACCGGGGGCCAAAACAAGCTTTTCAATTCATTCATTCACTCACCGTACACTGAAAAAAGCGTAACAAAGCTGTTGTTCATTTAATGTGTTTTTTTTCATTCCAATGAATAAAAAAAATTACTTTGCTCTATTAAACTAAACTTTTTTATTTATGGGTTAGGGTTTAATCGAATATTTTACTTTACTACAATGTAAACTGACAGCAAGGCACCAAACTGATTTTTTTTATTTTAATCAAAGCATTTTTATTAGATTGAGTGATTCGCGCATGCGCATTTTTTAAAAAGTTCTGGCGGAAACTTATTTCCACCTCAATCTTCCATTGCAGAGGACGTTGTGAAAAATATCAGACCCCACGGCATTTTGGTAACGTTAAGGTAAGTCATTCCGATTTTTAAAGATGACTGGGCGAAAATGTTAGCCCGCAGACAAAGTGTCTGTCTTAAGTGTCTTAAGTGTTTGCTTTTGTGGGCAATTAATCGTGCGGCTAGGGTTGGCGCTGGGGGGAGGGGGTTCGCCGTTCGGGAGGGAGGCGAGTGAGCAGATGGCGGCGGTGTTCCAGTCGACGTTTACATTCTGAAAAGCGTATATACGGCGTTAGCGCGTAGCTAACTACCTAGCTAAAACTATATACGGCGTTAGCACGTGGCTAACTAGCTAGCTAACACTATACACGGCGTTAGCATCGTAGCTAACTATCTAGCTAACACTATACATGGCGTTAGCACGTGGCTAACTAGCTAGCTAACACTATACACGAGGTTAGCACGTGTTATTGCTTACTGTGCTGTATTTTCTCGTTTTGGTAAAGCTAAACTGACCTGTGTAATAATGAAGCAACTTAAATAATGTTTTGTCAGGTATTTTATTTCATAGGCATAGTAAATCCGATTTAAAAAGAACAGAAGGCATAATAATGTTTTGTCATTTTTTAACTGTATTAAGATGTAGTTCATGTAACATTGAGAATATCCATCATTAAAACGTTTTTTTCTCTTAATTTAAGGAGAGCTGCCACAAGATCCACTGTGTTCCTGCTGTGCAACCACCAGTTTGGAAGTCCCTCATCTTATTGTAGTAAGTTCTGAGTACAATATCATGAGTGTATTTGTGATAATTAGATCACTCTCCTAAAACCGTCCTTTCCTCTGCCTTTTTATTTTTCCTCAGTTATCCATGTATGTAGAAATTTAAACTACAGAAAACCAACAACCGTCAAACAAAAAAAGAAAAGATGGCAAAGACGTTTGGATACCGTAGACAAGAAATAGTGCATAAGCAGCCGAGCATTGAAGACATGTTGACAAGATGGCCAGCACTTTTTCAGATGGAAGAGGTATGTTTTCAGATGCAAGGCACTGTAAGCCTATTTTTGAGAGGAGAGGGACTTAATATATTTGTTAATGCCAATGGTGTTCATGAGCATTCATGAAAGATGATTTTTTTTAACCTTAAAAACTTAGGTCTTTTCAGAGGAGAATTTATTTAATACACTTTTTAAAAGTTCTTTCTGCGTGCTCTGTTATTGTTTCTCCAGATTAATGCTGAGTTCATGCGGGTGACAACAGTACCCTGGAGACAAAGTTCTTAGCGCAGTTGGACAAGCACACGTCAAAACTGCTGGAGGTCATCAGGAGCAAGGGAGGGCGTGTGAAAGAGCTGACCAAGGCAACTTTGCAGGTTTTAGATGAGGTATCTATTTATGAATTGGTTCTTAATGCGATCCATAGTTGAATAGTTGGTGTGTATGTGCTTTTATTAATACCTATATTTCCTCAGACCGTGGACATCACAATTAGAAGAGAGTGCATCTTCAAATCTTTGATGATCTACCTGGGTGAACCTGTTCATCATCTCATTAAAGACTGCCAGGTAAGGGCATCTCCCTCACTAACACAAACAATATCTATATACCAACTTTGCTTCAACAATGATGTTCAGCATTGACATGCATTGTCTTCAGGAAATGTTCTTTCCAATTGTCCTCATTTATTGTTTTTTTGTGTGTGCAGGAAAATGAAGCAGCCATGGTAATCGTCAGTGGAAACGAGGACATTAAAATCGTCATTGACGGAACAGAGGTCCTCAGAGAGGTGCCCACAATAGCAACGGCTGTTGCTATGTTCTTCGGGCTCACCTATGTTCTCAACATAAAATATCCCAAAAATCTGCACTATACCCTTGAGTTTGTGCAAAAGGTCCTGATGAAGCTTGGTGGAAAAAAGATGTCCCCAAAAATTCATAGGCTGAGTACCCAGCTTGGCAGCCAAGAGTAGGCACAGTAGAGTTCCACTGTTAGGCCTGATTTAATGGCATTTCTACAACCAAGACTTTGTACCGTTTTATCTGAGGTTGGTGTTTGAAACACTTGCACAACTACATTTCTGCTACAGTATGGACAAAAGAATCTGCCTAAGGTTTCACAGGCACAAGTGGGTATTGTGCTGGAGAGCACTGATTTGTTTATTGCAGCATTTTCTGACCAAGAGGATCAGGAGCTACCTCACTCGTTTGCAAGTTATGGAACTGAGGACGTTCACACACATCACTTTTGATTTTAAGGAATAATTCCTCTCTGACTGTATTACATTGCATTTTCAAATGTTTACTTGAAAATGCATGTCTTCATTACTGTTTGTGTTTGAGATGTGATGGTTGAGAAGCACTGGTTTATGCTAATACAATGAGATGTTGCTGTTGTATTTGAGGGGAAAAGACAGCATTGAGAAGGACTGTTTTTAAGGTGGGACTATGTTGAAAAAAATGTTCATTCAACAATAAATGTGTTGAAAAGGAATGGCTTCTGAGTTTAAATCAAAATGTATTAAAATATCTTTTTTTAATTCAGGTCTATAAATATTAAAGTATCACTTTAAATTTTTATTTGAGACAACTTAAAAAAATTGTTTTCTCCGATATTCAAAAGTTGTTTAAATGAATTTAAAATATTCAGGTTTAACAAAGTAGATTATTTACATTAAGCAATAAAACCAATGTATTTATTTTAATTTAGGAAAATCTGAAATAATTGCTTTGGTTCAACCTTCAGAAATGGGTTTACACGAAGTTAAATATTTCAGGTCAAATCAAATGAATTATTTATATTGTATAACACTAGAATATTAGTTGTGATCGATTACCTCAATTTTTCTAATTTGAGCCAATGTTAGATTTTTTTCAGTGTAGAGGCCGCTTTAAAAACAATTTCTTTGTTTGTTTTCTGCATTTCCATCCACATTCAAAATGAATTATAATGCAAGTGGTTGATAAGAAAAAAAAGTAGTGAACCACATTAACACAAAACAAACTCGAAGACTTACTGCACATGTATTGTTGTACCTTCACACGTGACATTGGCCCGGGCCAAGCCGAGCTCCAGCAGCGAGCAGTTCGCCATCAGAGGCTCCCTGATTACCTGCATCCCCTCGTTCCCCAGCAGGTTTCCCCCCAAATCCAGGACCTGCAGGACCTTCAGCACGGGCTGAAAAACAGCATTTATATCAGCACTGCCTTACTTTGACTTTACCGCAACAATGAAGCTTGGCTTAGTTTTAATCATCCTTAATATTATTCAGTCATTATTAATTCCTTTCAAACTGTTTCCTCTCATGTTAAATGCTCAGAACTTCTGTTTCTACTCTCCAGAGTCACATTAGCATTGAAGGCTTGATTAGCTGGCGCATAAAGCCGGGGATGTCTAGGGCACAAGAGGCCCGCGTGGCCCAACAGCTTGACGAGGAACGCGGGGGGGGGGGGCGTCTGGGGGTTCCCTCTCACAGAAGTTGCAGCACGTTGCGGAAACTGAGCAGGGTGTGAAAGTGTCTGCGCGTGTTTAGTAGTAGAACCGGGTTACTCTGTCATCGTGCCGGTGACAGTAAAGTTTTTGTTAGATATGAGGCAATATGATAGATGCAATATACACAACACAATACTTTTTTATTTAATTCAAAATATATATAAATATTACTTAAAAAACAGCTTTATATCGTATATGACGCATTTCTCTCCCTTGTCACCTCTCTTTCACTTGTCAATCCTGGATGTTTCTTTGCACAAGATAACATCACACAACGCCTCTTACTGTCAACGCAGAGCCATTACAGTGTTACGACCTCCTCATCACA